ACTCACTGGAGAAAAAGAATCTACAATCCAAGCTCCAAACTTCAGCTCTTGTTACTGGATATGTTATTGTACTACATATAAACAGAACTGTAGCATGCATCTTGCAAGCACGCTCTTGGGAAGAAAAAAAAAAGACTAATATTATAGTCCAAGCAGTTGCATATTAGTCTGCCTAGAATAGTGGGATTAGTAATAGTAATAGTGGGAAAGACACTTTATTATTTATGAGGTCAGCTAAAGGGATTTGCCATTTCATTTTAAAATGATACCATGATTCTTTGTTCTTTTGAGAGCTGCTTTTCTATGGTGGATCCTTTCAGGGGGAAACCGAAGAAATGGTCACTACAGACATAAACGCCCAATCAATTGTGCCTGATTACTATACTTAAGCAGGCACTTCATTAATTCAAAATTACACAAAAGAGAAGGCAGATATTTTTGTAACTCTGAACTTTGGCTAAAACATCTTGGCCCATTATATTGCTTTGGCCAATTTGCTGAATTAAAGTAGATTTAATGTTAGATGCTATCATTGCGGCATTTCAAGAATTACAGGAAATACATTGTGTACTGAGCCTCTAGACTGTTTTGTTGTGGTTGTTTTTTGTGAACCTCCATGCCCTCTTTTTAAGGAAAATTTAATGACATTGGGGGAAAACCTAAAAGAATATAGTCTTTCTCCATATGTAAGTCTAGAAATTTCAGTCTAGAAATCAACCCCAAAAACCTGACCGACTTATCCATAGTACTGTACCTCTCAACTCAAGAACGGGAAACGTAATGTTGGTGGACAGGAAAAGAGATTTAAAGATGGGCTTAAAGCTAACCTTAAAAATTGTGGCATAGATACCGAGAACTGGGAAGCACTGGGCCTTGAGCGCTCCAGCTGGAGGTCAGCTGTGACCAGCAGTGATGCAGAATTCAAAGAGGCATGAATGGATGGCGAGAGGGAGAAACGTGCCAAGAGGAAGGCACGTCAAGGAAACCCTGATAGGGACCGCCTTCCACCTGGAAACTGATGTCCTCACTATGGGAGAACATGCAGATCAAGAACAGGGCTCCACAGACACCTACGGACCCACCACCAGGACACTACACCTGGAGGACCATCATCCTTGGACAATGAGGGATCACCTAAGTAAGTAAGGTAAGTACTGTACCCCAACTCTTATCCAAAAAGGAAGGGTCCCCTTATCTGAGTAGAGTGCTGAAAGGCAAAAGCTTATTCCATCTCAGGAGAAACAATTAAAGAAGCACTTATCCCCTCTACACTCTTTTTTTTTTAAACAACTTTTGGCAATAGTATTTATATTCATTGACATTCATCTAAAAATTCAATCTGAATTAGTGCCAGTATTTTGATAAAGGGAATTCAATTTTCATAACAAAGCCTTAGCTACTAAATGGAACAAATTTCAATACTGATGTGGACTCTAGCCATCTCTGAAACATTGTACTGCTTTCCACAGGTACCATGCTCACCAGAACAATCCATTCCACAACAAATATCTTAATAATCTTAAATCTGCCAGAGACAATAAACCAGAGAAAAGAAAGAGGGAAAACTTTGGACAACTGGTGTATTCATAGAGATAGAAATATCCTAATTATGTTAGCAATGCAACTGGCTTAATATGGTACTACAGCAGTTGAAAACAACCAGTGGGGATTTCTTGTGCTTTCTCCATGATAATTTACCAAACAGGAATATGTCTGGGATTGCTTTTGCTATGAAAGCTGGTCTGATCTCATCACAGAATATGCTTAGTACCTTTGCACAGAAATTGACAAGGCATAGAACTATTTATTCTTGTTTCGCTTTTCTTTTATAGGCCATCAAGTAAGTAATAAACTCAATTAGAGGATTGGCAACATTTTCTAGCAAATGCAAGCAATCTCAAATTTCTGCCATTCATAACAAACTCATTTTTGTACAAAATTAATAAGTATTCATAACACCACATTTTTATTATTGCTTCCCAGAACTGCTATAACACAATCCTATGAAATGTAAAGATACAGAATGGGGAATGCCTGGCTCGACAGCAATAAGTGTGAAAAAGATATTGGAGTCCTCACGGACAAATTAAACATGAGCCAACAATGTGATGCAGCAGTTAAAAAAGCCAATGGGATATTGGCCTACATCAACAGGAGTATAGTGTTTAGATCCAGGGAAGTCACGCTACCCCTCTATTCTGCCTTGGTCAGACCACACCTGGAATCAAACTGTGTCCAATTCTGGGCACTGCAATTAAAAATAATGCCCAGCATTATTTTTTTAAAATTTTAATTAGTACATTTGGCCCTGCCATAGGTTTTTTAAACGTCGTTGTGTTATTGTTAATGTTTATTGCTATTTTCTGGTTATGAGTTTTATTTATTGTTGTATTACTGTTGCTATTGTTTTATTGTTGTATTGTGGGCTCGGCCTCATGTAAGCCGCACCGAGTACCTTGGGGAGATGGTAGTGGGTTACAAATAAAGTTTAATAATAATAATAATAATAATAATAATAATAATAATTATTATTATTATTATTTAAGTGAGATGTCGACAAGCTGGAATGTGCCCAGAGGAGGGCAACTAAAATGATCATGGGTCTGGAGAACAAGCCCTATGAGGAGTGGTTTAAAGAGATGGAAATGTTTAGCCTGCAGAAGAGAAGGCTGAGAGGAGACATGATGAGGGCCATGTATAAATATGTGAGGGGAAGTCATAGGGAGGAACGAGCAGGCTTGTTTTCTGTTGCCCTGGAGCCTAGGACGCGGAATGATGGCTTCATTGGAAAAGGAAGGAAAGGAGATTCCACCTGAACATGAGGAAGAACTTCCTAACTGTGGAACTCTCTACCCAATGGCATTAGATTGCCCCCCCCCCTTGTCCTTTAGAATGAAACTCAAAACCTGGTTATGGGACCAAGCGTTTGAACAGTAGAGGCAGCAATTTAGAATGAGACCCAATTTGTGTGAATGAAGGTGAACTGACCTGAACTATGATTGTAAATCTGCATGATTTAAACTATGTTTTAGTAATTTACGTTTTAATTGCTTTTCTTATTTATTACTGTTCTTGGCATTGAATAAATGCCTGTTGTGAAGCTGGCCTGAGTCCCCCTCTGGGGGTGAGAAGGATGGGATACAAATATGTGAAATAAATAAATAAACAAACAAACAAACAAACAAACAAACAAACTCTGGGAGCTGTTCAGCAGTAGAACTCTCTGCCCCGGAGAACAGTGGAGGCTCCTTTTTTGGAAGTTTTTAAACAGAGGTTGGATGGTCATCTGTCAGGGATGCTCTGAATGAGATTTTCCTGCTTCTTGGCAGGAAGTTGGACTGGATGGCCCACGAGGTCTCTTCCAACTCTATGATTTCATGATTCTATCTTACACGTAGGAAAAGAATTGAGACCATGGTTATGTCTGCTCACATGAATGGGTTTGTCCATTTCAGTGACCCAGAAATAAAACCTTTCAAATACTGTATATACTCAAATATAAGCCGATCCGAATATAAGCTGAGGCACCTAATATTACCACAAAAACTGGGAAAACGTATTGACTCGAGCATAAGCCAAGAGTGGAAAATGCAGCCGCTACTGGGAAATTTCAGAATAAAAATAGATACCAATAACATTACATTAATTGAGGCATCTGTAGGTTCGATGTTTTTGATTCTTGACATAAAACTGTAATTTAAGATAAGACTGTCCAACTCTGATTAAACCATTATTCTAACCTTCTTCCATGTAAATGTGCTTAATGTATTCTTTCAATAATAATAGAGTAAAATAATAAATGTACTAATAACAATAATAAATAGAATAAACTAGTAAATGTAATAAAATAATAATAGAGTACAATAATGTAAATGTAATAATAATAATAATAATAATAATAATAATAGTGTTTGCTTGTGATTTTGTGATACGAAACCCAGCATATATATCTTGTTTGCTGTGACATACTGTGTTTTTGTGTCAGTAAAATAATAATAAATGGAGTAAACTAATACATGTAATAAAAATAATACTAATAACAGAGTAAAATAATAAATAACTTTATATCGCGTATAAGCTGAGGGGAGCTTTTTCAGCTTAAAAAAGGGGCTGAAAGTCTAGGCTTATACTTGAGTATATACAGTAAGTCTTGTTGCAATAAACCATCATATTGTTCATCATGAAATATATACCATCTTATTTATTTATTTATATTCTGCCTCCAACCTGAGGATAAAAAACTACTTATATATCTTAAAGTACATGAATAATTCTTCTAAAGGAAGGAGCCATTTTCAATGAAAAAGACCCATATATATCTACAAACTAATCTAACTGCATATAGCCAAAACATATAACAAAAACCTACCACTGTTAGGTGAAGCTTCCTCCCTAAACCTTTTAAGCAAACATAGGCTATTATCTTATTCTAGGTTTATGGGCTTTGCTTTATAGCAAAATATGTATTTTTAAAAATTTCTGGCATGAAAATATTTTTCCAGCGTCAAGTGTAAGCGAACTGTGTAACTGTTTTTGTTAGAGGGAAAAATGTGTCAGGTTTTGTTAAAGATACACCTAATACACATGTACTCAAGAGAAATATCCTGCCTGGCCACAGATTTTCCATTTATTATAAATCCTCTATTATACACTAACTTGACTTTTTCTTAAACAAAATTCCAATGAGCTGAAATGAAAAGAATCCAATATACATGTAGATCTTCATTCTTATTCAAATTCCACCCTTGTAAAACAAATGTATCACTGAAAAGTGAATGCATATGTTTCCAATACCATTATAGTCCTATACAATAAAATCAGTGAGTATTGACAAAAGAGTATACATATAAGATAGACCTACAAGGCACATTAATGAGCCAGCCATGGTTGACAGATAGATATGTCCTTGAAACAAAAACAAAACAGCAAGTTTCTGTTGGCTTCCTTTCATGCATTGAGAAATATTTTTAAAGTATGCTTTTTCTGCAAGCAGCACTTACTATTGTGCACAATCAATCAACTGGTATTCATTCGATCTTTCAAAACACGCCTTTACTCCTTCGTCATCCCAGAGCTTTTTTGCATGTTCAAAGAATTCCTGAAAATTGGAAATACATAAACAGGTTAATTCTGATGAAATATTTAAATAAGTCTTCACATATTGTAGAAAATTTTAAAAAGACACATAATCAATTATTTTATGTTGATGGCTCTATTAAAGCAGCTCCATTGGTTGCTGATAAGTTTCTGGTCCCAATTCAAGGTGCAAGTTATGATTTATAAAGCCCTAAAAGGTTCGGGCCCTGCCTATCTTTGTGACCGCATCTTCCCCTATGAACCAGCGTGGGCTCTAACATCTGCCGGGGAGGCCCTCCTCTCAGTCCCATCATAGCCACAAGCATGATTAGTGGGGACGAGGGAGAGGGCCTTCTCGGTGGTGGCCCCCCGGCTCTGGAACTCTCTCCCCAGGGAGATTAGGCAAGCCCCTACACTGTCTTCCTTTCACAGGGATTTGAAAACCTGGATGTTTCAGCTAGCATTTGGGAATGGCTAGTCCCTAGTAATAATGCCCAGTCCCTAGGTCACCTGATAATATTTTGTTCTCTGCACTTCATCCAATACCCCGGGGCCCTATGTTTTGCACTATCCCATGCCCGGCCCTTTTTATTGCCTGGTCATATCCACTGTATTACTGGTTACTGGTTTTGTTGAGCATTGTTTTGAGTTTCAACTGTTTTATATTCTTTTGTTTTATTTAATTGTGTTTTTTTATCTGGACTGTTGTATTTTACTATGCTCTTATTTTATATTGTGGTTTTTTTTTAAAAAAATTGATTGTTTTGCTTTTATGTTTTGTGGGCATTTTGACCTATATGTAAGCCACTCCAAGTCCCTTCGGGAGATGGTTGTAGGTTATAAAAATAAAGTAGTAGTAATAGTTATTATTAATAATATAATAACTTTATTTTTATACCCCACCACCATCTCCCCAAGGGGACTTGGGGTGGCTTACAAAGGGACAAACACGAATACAGATAAAAACAAAACACAATAAAACCAATCAAATAAAAACATAACTCAATTGTTGTTGTTGTTGTTGTTATTATTATTATTATTATTATTATTATTATTATTATTATTATTATTATTTTGGTCCTATGTAAAGTCGCACCTTAAAAAATGAGTGGCAGTTCGCACTCATGGTGTTTTTCTCCCAATGCACTTTTAATATCCTTTCTGGGAGTTAGGAATGGTCTCATTAAAAAATTCCCAATATGTTTGCTTGTTTGTTAAGACGCTACACAACACTATATTTTATTGTATAGAGTTCCATTTTTATATATTTACTTTATCTTCATGATATCTGAATCTTCATGATATTCTTTTAGGATAGGCTGTCAAGTTCAAATAGGTTGGAAGGGAGACATGTACTAAAAAAAGGAAACTAATTTCTATTTATAAGGGTTAAGTTTTTTTTGTTGGAATTTTGATCTTCATATAAAAGCACTTTGAAAAAAGCAACTCCCACTGGGTTTCCAAAATAGGCTCACTTACATAAGTGATGCTGTATCTGGAAAATATGGTGTGTATCATTTCAAAGAGCTAATTCACACAATCAGGTGATGTGATGCCTATGAGGAGAACAGCTCGCTTGTGCTGATGGCTACTGTATTTCTGTGATTAATAAGGACATTTCCACAATAGTTCATATGTAATCATGTGGTTGAAGTGAAACTATCAGAAGCATCATTAGGCAGTAAATCTGGCTATGTGAATAAATTCAAAGTCAGAAGAAAAGAATGTATTGGTTCCTTTCCTCATTTTGTTTTACAAATGCTTTGGTAATGCTTCTTCATTACATATTTTAGCTTTAAATAGACAAGTTGCTACATGAGATTAATTTAATGCATGTATAAACCTCCCGTACAACTTCTAATACTTTATGCACTAAGTGACTAGTCTGACAGTTCAAACAGAAAGATAAAAATTGCTATAATTATAGGGGCTGTCTATCACATTTCTCATTTCAAATGTAACCTTATCCTGAGTCATGCATGGGTCTTAGGAGAAGGTGGGGTGCTAGCATAAATTTCTTGTTTAAAAAGGAAGGGTGGTACTAGTGGGGTTGTTATTATACTATGCCTTTCAGAAGTATTCACCCCCCCCCCTTTGATTTTATGTGGTTTTTGCTGGGTTACAACAAAATTGAAATGGATTTAGTTGGTAGTACAGTAGAGTCTCGCTTATCTAACATAAACGGGCTGGTAGAACATGGGCAAGCAAAAATGTTGGATAATAAGGAGGGATTAAGGAAAAGCCTATTAAATACCAAGTTATATTATGATTTTATAAAACAAGCACCAAAACATAATGTTTTACAACAAATCGACATAAAAAGCAGTTCAATACATAGTAACGTTATGTAGTAATTACTGTATTTACGAATTTAGCACCAATACATTGCAATGTATTGAAACAGCTGTGGATCCGGGCAGGAGGCAGTCTGCGTTGGTGTGAAGTCTTGGTTTTGCCTTCTCCTCCTTTGCTTCCGTTCCCCCTGTTTATAGGTTTTCCCAATAGTGTAGACCTTCCTCTGTATTAGTTTTTTCGATGGAGATTAAAATACCCTAAGAGTCCTGCCTCAGTTGCTTTATTCAATTTCCCCAAAGCACTTTGCTGGACTCTTCCTTCTCTCTGTAGTAGAGCCCGTAGAGGCTTGGATATTGTCTGGAATCTTAGGACTAGTAATCCAGGACAGGCATTCTTAGCATCTGTTTCTGCTGCATTTAGCAGTATTTTATACCACCAATCCAAAGGACAAAAGAAGCTTTTGGACAGCCTAAGATTCACAGGAAAGAAGATTAAGGCAGTTTATAACATTGCTTTGCACCTGAAGTCAAAGAGACTTTCAAAGACCCCAGAAAGATGACTTCAACCAGCAAGTTCTCCTTTTGTAATGTATTGTTTTAAGTCATTCTATAATAGTCCCGGGTGGAGTTAACCCTTTGTTCATCTTGTTTCAATAAACTCATTTGGTTATCTTTTCATTCTTTTCACCTCATTTGGTTATCTTTTCACTGCAAACTGAAAGAGGTTTTCCTCCAGAAGTTTTCCTGCACCAGATAGCAATCATCCTGCATCACTGCTGACCAGTTTCCCAGACCATGCAGAGGAAAAACATCTTCACAACAAGATGGTGCCATCATCATGCCTCACAATGAAGACGGAGGTCTCAGGACAATGAGCACTGCTGATTTTGCAGAACTTATAGTGTCTTTAGAAAAAAGCTTAAGACCTGGCTTTGCAGGCAGGTGTTTGGCGAATAAGGTATTACGGAATTAGACAGCCTGAATGATGATTTTGGATTTTGGAAAGTGACTATGGATAAGTATGAGATCAAGACTCGGCACTTGGTTTATATGGTTCTAATCTGTTTTATTGTTTATGCATTTTAATTGTTCATACGTTTTATGTTTTGTAATTTGATGGGATGTGTTTTATTGTTATGTCCATGCAGCATTCAATTTTGCTGGAGTTTGTAAGCTGCCTTGAGTCTCTGCAGGGTGAGAAAGGTGAGGCGAAAAGGAAGTAAATAAATAAATAATAAATTTCTACTCTGCAGCATCCATACACTGTTCAGACTTGCTCCTGACTTTTTAAAATACGTGTCTTCCATGTGGATGCACATTGCAACTCGCATTAGGGGTGAGGGTTTTATAGCCCTCCCTTCACCCAATAATCCACATAATTCTGGAGTTTACAGCATGTACAGATGGGATCTGGGGGAGTGTGCCTTGCCCAAGGCCACCTTGTGGGTTTCCATGGCTGAGTGGGGATTAATTCCTGATCTCCGGAGTCTTATTTTAATGTTCAAATGACTACTATACTTTGGCTCTAGAATTACACACAGGTGGACTAAATTCACTTACTATGATTATTTTTGGAAGCAATTAAATGCATCAGTGTTTATGTGTGTGGCAGCAAAGGGGTAAAATAAATACACAACCAACAAGTGCCACTAAGATGTGTACCTTCATGGTGTTGTGTATCTTCTGAACAAAAACAATACAAGTTAAATCTATTTCAGCTCTATGTTGCAACACAACAAAATTTTAAAAATTCAAAGACAATGAATGTGTCTTCAAGGAATTATGAATGTAAGTATTCTAACAGAAAAGTATTATGTATACAGAAATTATATCACGGTTCAAGAATTGTATCACATGCCATTTTCAAATTTACATAGTCTGGGTTTAGACAGTAAGAAAATAAAAGGACGCAATACAAATATATTTTGTATTAAATGAAAAATAGTAATTATGTTTAATTTCCACATACAAAGTTCTAATTAAAATAATAGGAAATGCTACCATTAATGTAATTCATCCAATTTGTGACACTTCTAAAATAAAGCAGTCCATTCATCAAAAAGTTAAGAAATGTAAACAAAAGCAACTGTCCTGTTTCAAAAAGGGGAGTATTGTTGCATGATTACTGACTTATAGCAATCCTAAAGCAAACTAATAATGGAGTTTCTTGGCAAGATTTGCTGAGAGTGGGGTTGCCTGTCTTTGAAGCTGACAGTAGGGCATTTCCATGGTCACTTTCATAACTGAGCAGTGATTCGAACTCTGGTCACTAGAGTCATAATCGAATGCTCAAACCACTACATGTTGGAGTTTTACTTGTCTTGAATCATACCATGAGGAGTATTGGGAGTATTAATTACACTGAAGACCCTTCCATATAGCCTATATCCCAGAATATGAAAGCAGGAAATCCCACATTATCTGAGTTTGGACTCAGATAAACCAGTTCAAGGCAAATACTGTGGGATTTTCTGCCTTGATATTCTGGGATATAGGACTGTGTGGAAGGGCCCTGAATCATATGGTTGAAGAATTATCTTAGCAAATGGCAGTTCTGACTATAGAGTGAATCTGAAATGTGCACTTGGGTCAGCTTGCTGCCACTTCGTCTAATTATATCATGAGAAATTGCATCCCTTAACCATTATCAAACATACTAGTTGTTTGATAAAAGATGATATAACAGGCTGCAACCTAACTTGGAAGAGTCTAAGCAGAATACAATGGT